GGAGAGGGTGGCGTTGTAGGGCTCCACCACCGTGTCTGACACCTTGGGTGAGGGCATGACACTGAAGGTGTTCATGATGCGGTCTGGGTACTCCTCCCGGATCTTGCTGATGAGCAGGGTGCCCATCCCAGACCCCGTGCCGCCCCCCAGAGAGTGGGTCAGCTGGAAGCCCTGGAGACAGTCACTGCTCTCTGACTCCTTCCTCACCAGCTCGGCTCCCTCTGTGTAGTGGCCCTTGGCCCAGTTATTCCCGGCTCTGCTCTGGCCTGCCAGAGGGAAAGTGACCATTAGACACTAAGACATAAGGAATTTCAAAATCTGTCATTTTGACTATGGAGAATGTAGAACTGGTCTTACACAGGCAGATTCTTCTCTTTTGAATTCTCTACTACTACCTGAAGAAATATTTTTCTTTTTCTTGTTTTTTTTTTTGAGATGGAGTCCTGCTCTGTCGCTGAGGCTGGAGTGCAGTGGCACAATCTCGGCTCACTGCAACTTCTGCCTCCCAGGTTCAGGTGATTCTCCTGCCTCAGCCTCCCAAGTAGCTGGGATTACAGGTACCTGCCACACACCTAGCTAATTTTTATATTTTTAGTTGGCCAGGCTGGTCCCACACTTCTGATCTCAGGTGATCCTCCCATCTCAGCCTCCTGAAGTGCTGGGATTACAGGCCTGAGCTACCACACTTGGCCAGAAATAATTTTCTCCATCAGTACCCTCAGAGACATTGGGGACCGTAATAAAGTAAGAGGCAAATTTAGCTCATTTGAGGCTATTGATTGAGGAAGAGGATAGAATTAGAAAACTTAATTGGTTTCGAAATACGTACATTTTATTTTATTATTTTATTTTATTTTATTTTTTGAGACAGACTCTCATTCTGTCCCCCAGACTGGTGTGATCTCAGCTCACTGCAACCTCTGCCTCCCAGATTCAAATGATTCTCCTGCCTCAGCCTCCCGAGTAGCTGGGACTACAGGCGGGTGCCGCCATACCCATCTAATTTTTTGTATTTTTAGTAGAGATGGAGTCTTACCGTGTTAGCCAGGATTGTCTTGATCTCCTGACCTCATGATCCACTTGCCTTGGCGTCCCAAAGTGCTGGGATTACAGGCGTGAGCCACCGTGCTGGCCGAAATACACACATTTTAAACAAGCATTCTCTTTATACTCCAGTACAATTAAATAGGCAAGGTGAAGGCAGAGTGACCAGGAGAGAAGGTGGCCTCAGCATCTGTCTAAGCTCTGGTCATAACCTGTGCTTTTGGCCCCTGGCTCTTTGAAGTCCTTTGAAGTTGCCTGTAGCCTATGAAACCTGGCTTGAAGCTTCTCCTTGCTCTTTCTTCTTCCAGTCTGAGGCTGCTCTGCAATGGGAGGGCTGCAGCAGCCCTCTGCAGGCTGGTGTTGATCTCTGAGCCATGACCGCCCGTGGACTGGGTGGAACTAGGCCAGGACTCAGGGCTGCCCGTGGACACAGTGTCACCTTGGCACTGAACACTAAGAACTGTGCTTTGCAGGGCTGTGAGGAAGAAGGTGTGGCATTTGGCCAGTTCCCAGTGAGCGTGACTACATACCGAACACGAAGTTGTCTGGCCTGAAGATCTGGCCGAAGGGTCCAGACCTGACGGAGTCCATGGTGCCAGGCTCCAGATCCACCAGGATGGCCCGAGGTACGTATTTGTTACCTGCGGGGAACGGGAACTGACTCAGACCTGTACTTAGGGAGGGACTCGCAGCAGCATTCATTAGAGACAGCTCCAGCATCTGAGACAAAAGGAGAACAGGAGGTTCTCTGCTTTTAAAAAAATGGAGGTCTTGAGTGTGCTTAGCCGTGGCTAACAGGCAGGAGTCTCAGGGCACCATTAAGTGTGTTTTTCCAGGAGCTGGCATTTGAAATGAATATGCAAGAAGCATGCTTTTGTCACGTGCATGTTCCTAGGACGTTTCATCTCCCACAGCATGGGAAGCAAGGATTCCTGTTAAGAAGAAGGAATCTTTTTGCTAACACACCCCGCTACTCACCAGCAGCCTCATTGTAGTACACGTTGATTCTCTCCAGCTGCAAGTCACTGTCTCCATGGTAACTGCCTGTGGGGTCGATCCCATGCTCATCGCTGATGACCTCCCAAAACTGAAATGAAAAAAGAAC